TCGCCTGTTTTTTTTTTTTTTTTTTAAATTTTTATTGGGGTAGAATTGCTTTAAAATGGTGTGTTAGTTGCTGCCGTATAACAAAGTGCATCAGCTATATGTATACATATATCCTCAAGGCCCCTCCCTCTTGCGTCTCCCTCCCTCCCACCCTCCCTAGCCCACCCTTCTATGTGGTCGCAAAGCACCAAGCTGATCTCCCTGTGCTATGCGGCTGCTTCCCACTAGCTAGCTATTTTACATTTGGTAGTGTATACATGTCCATGCCGCACTCTCGCTTCGTCCCAGCTTACCCTTCCCCCTCCCCGTGGCCTCAAGTCCATTCTCTGTCTGTGTGTTTATTCTTCCTGTCCTGCCCCTAGGTTCTTCAGAACCGTTTTTTTTTTTTTTTTTTTTTTTAAGATTCCATACATGTGTGTTAGCATATGGTATTGTTTTTCTCTTTCTGACTTACTTCACTCTGTAGGACAGACTCTAGGTCTATCCACCTCACTACAAATAATTCAATTTCATTTCTTTTTATGGCTGAGTAATATTCCACTGTATATATGTGCCACATCTTCTTTATCCATTCATCTGTCGATGGACACTTAGGTTGCTTCTGTGACCTGGCTATTGTAAATAGTGCTGCAATGAACATTGGGGTGCATGTGCCTTTTTGAATTATGGTTTTCTCTGGGTATATGCCCAGTAATGGGATTGCTGGGTCATATGGTAATTCTATTTATAGTTTTTTGAGGAACCTCCATACTGTTCTCCATAGCGACTGTATCGATTCACATTCCCACCAACAGTGCAGGAGGGTTCCCTTTTCTCCACACCCTCTCCAGCACTTATTGTTTGTAGATTTTCTGACGGTAGCCGTTCTGACCGCTGTGAAGTGGTACCTCACTGCAGTGGTGAGATCTGCATTTCTCTCTAATAATTAGTGACGCTGAGCATCCTTTCCTGTGTTTGTTGTTCTCACCTTTTCCTGCCTTTGCTTGTGATGCGTGTTCATCGTAATAAACATGAGCAGTATATGGACTAGCCAAGGAAGCTGGCCCACAACTGCCTGCGGAAGCACAGCCCGTGGCACCCGTCTCAGCGTGCGGGGCACGTGTGTTCATGCGTGGGGAGACCGTGGCCTCCTGGAGTGAGCACCGTGGCGCTGTGCCCTGTTAGCTGACAGACGCTGGCGCAGCCGTGAGTCACGGGCTCTGCCGTGTTTAAGAAAAGGCGTTTTTAGACGGTTGACGTGGGTTCTGACAGAGGATGTTAAAGGGTCTAGAATGTGATGTGAACGTCTGTGGAGCTGGCAGCAGGCACGGTCGGCGTCCCCAGAGGTGCTGGGCACCCTTGCAGCCTGGCCAGAGTCGGGGTCTCTCCCAGAGCCCCCCTTCCCTTCCCAGACCCAAGCCACGTCTTCCCTGGAAGGAAGCAGTCAGCAGGGAGGGGGCTGGGCCCACGCAGGGCTCCCGCCTGAGGTGTCGGGGTGGGCTCTGCCGTGGGTCCGTGGGCTCCAAGTGCTCATAGGCTCTCGTCACCCACACCCTTCGTGCAGGAGGAGGGCGCCGCTTGGTTGCCTGCCCGGAGCCGGAGCTGCAGCCCCTGGCACAGGGCGCGGGTGGCTCGGCTGTGCCTGCTCCTCTGCGGCCGACCCCTCCCTCCCAGGACGCGGTGGGGGGGCGGGGGGGTTCCAGAGCCAGCCCAGAGAGGCAAAACGTGCTTCCCAGGGGCAGGGTCGCTGGCCCACGATGGAAGCCTAATTTCAGAAGCACATGGGTCGCAAGGCGGGGGCAGGAGGCGCCTCCGGGGACCTGGTGCAGAGGGCGCTGGGGGTGAAGCCAGACGGGGGCCCGCCATGCCCCACAGGCAGGCGGCCCGAGGTGGCCCCTCCCCGGCTCCCCACGCCTCCGAGACCCCGGACTCACTGGCTCCCGTACTTGGTCCTCTTGAACTTGTCCCTTCTGTGCTGGGCGTGCTCCAGCTCCAGGGCCCCGACCCCGGCGATGACCTGCTTCAGCGTCTTGTAGGTCTCCTGGGGGTCGTCGATGACGAACGTGGAGTACTCCTCGCGCTCTGGGCCGTCGTACACAGACCTGCTCCCGCAGGCCTCTGCAGTGTCGGGGGAGGGGGCCGAGGTCAGCTTGGGGCGAGCGGACAGGCTGCCCCCCAAGCGCACAGGGAAGGGCCGACCACTCACACAAACGCACACGAAACAAGAGCCGCTAAGAGTGGGGCCGACCCTGAACCCCGGAGAAGCCTGCGGCACCGGAACCGTAGGCCCGAGAGTCCAACGCCGAGCACCAGGGCCCAACCCCTCTCCAGGGTGACTGGGCTCTGTGCAGCCTGGCCCAGGCTCCCAGACGGCTGCTCCTGGAGCCTGGGCCAGGCTGGTTCAAGGGCCGGTGGGGTCACCCAGGGTCAGTCTGGGGAGATGCGTTCGAGAAGCCCCACCCTAGAAAGGGGTGCCGGGCTCCATCCCACATTTACGAGGACGCACCACGGCAGGGACCTGCAGGGCGCAGGGCGGACAAGAAGCTATCCTCTCGGCCGTCACCTGTCGGCCAGTCTGTGTGAGCAGCTTCTTAGGGCCTCCATCGCCCCACCTGCTCAACAGGTACCTTTCTCA